TATATATATATATATATATATATATATATATATATATATAGTGTTGGCTTTTTTCTAAGCAGTTTGGCTGCTTACATTGGAAACAGATTTTTCTTAGCATGTAATATTTCTTTCTTTCTTTTTGCTTAGAATGAGTGGAATCTCTCCATGCAAATAGTCTTTATAAAAATGTGAGGGAATTTCATATGCGTGCACGTATACAGGTAGTCCTCGCTTAACAATGGTAATTGAGACTGGAATTTCTATTCCTAAGGAGTGTGATCATAAAGCACATGACATCCCTTGTAGTCACAGGGACTACTAGAACTATCATTGCTAAGCGGTGCGGTTATGTGATGTTTGATCTAACAGTCACTTTGGTTAACTATGGAAATTCCATCCCCAATTGGGGTTGTTAAGCAATGACTAAGTTTTTTAATGTGGGTTTTGGTCTTTCCTTTTAATATCTGGTTTTATTGTGAAGGCCTCAGATTAACCACAGTTGGAATATGCTAAGATCCTAAATCTACTTCAGACCTTGGTTTAAAGTTTAGGCACATGTAGACACACACGCACGCACGCGCGCACACACACACGGACTGCGTGGAGAGTGAAAGAATGCTATTTGCAAAAAAAAATCTGACTGACTTAGAACTTCTACTTAGTTCTTTGTAATATGCCTTTACAATGATATATTTATAATTATATATATGTATTTAAAGCATCCCATTCAATAATATTCAGAATTTACTATGGATATTATAACCATTGAATATCATTACAGCCATTGAACATCAATGGGTTTTTTGCTTTAATATAAATTCCTGGTAGCTAATCACCCATACAGATCATATCATTAGATAATTTCATTCCAATATTTTAAATATGAATATTTAAAACAGAAAGAGAAAGAAATATTTTGTCCCCTTTCCACTGAATTAAAACACTTGAAAAAGAATGTACTGCATATATTGATGGCAGATTCTACTGAAACTGATTAACATACAAAATATAATTGATTATGACTTGCTCGTTTCCTTTCTAGAAGCTGTGAGAATGGTAAAGTATGCCTTTGGGGAACAGACTAGAACTTGTTTTTAAAGCAATTACAATTACATGAAATATAAATTTTCTATGCAGTGCCAAACTGCCTATCAGTTATATTAGTCACAGATTCCAGCTGTTTTGACAACTACTAGCCTGATACAAATATATTATTGAATCCAAATTACTGCTAAACCATAGTGTACTCCCTTAATATTTTGATAATATCCAGATACAGAGTCAAATCATGATTTAGCTTGTTGAGGTAACCAATGCCTAATAAAAGATACCAAGGTCAACAAAGGCCTACTTATCCCTAGTGAGCACAGAGACTGGATAAATATGAGAGCCTACTCAGTCGAGGCATGGATAGCAAGAATTCAGTAGATGCACATACACGCACAAACACCTTTCCCATGAAAACGAATGGCAGAATCCTGGCAGAGTGCATCAAAACTGCCATTCATGCAAACAGCTGTGTTGGATTGGGGCAGGTGAAGAATGCATTCCTAAACCTGGTGCACATTCTGTGGTCCCTCTTTACCCAGTGCTCTGCCATTGTTGCTTTGTTAATGATAGAAGACCCAAGAAAGCAAATATAAATAAACAGAGAGGGGGGAAAGAAAAGAAAAGCACTTACGTAATAACAATCATCCTTTGCCCTTCTATAGCACCTCACATCTGAGGATCTCACAGTGCTCCCCAGACATAAATTACGCCTGTGAGGTAGGTAAGTGTTATCATCCCCATTTCACAAAGACACAAAGAGGCTTTTAAAAAAGTTTCGTATTGGAGTGTCTGTTATGGGGCACTTGTAGCCTAAGCTTATGTTTATGCACTCAGTAGTAAATTATACTGGATTTCAAAAAACTCACTCTCCACCACTACCACTGGGTAAGTGTGCCAAAGACTGCAGTCTTCTTATTTAAGGCCGTAAAAGCCCTTGAGTTTTGTCAAAGGATGCTGGGATTCGGTAAGGCTCCCAAGCCACAACCTTGGCTGGCTTCAACTTTTGTGGCTGCCATCTTTAAACCTAATTTGAAGGCTTCCTGCTTCTGAGAGTAGGCCAGCAGGCATTTGTTTCTCCTTGTCTTGCAGTAAAAGAGATGAGCCACTAGAAAAATAACTGGTTAAATTAGCTTGATAAAATAAGCCAAACTCCTAGGTCTGCCAATGTAATGCTACTGCTGTGAAAACAGCCCTGGCTGCCAGTTAATTTTGCGGTGTGATTGAAAAGGTAGCTATCTTCTTTAAGCACCTACAGGGCTAATTGCCTGGACATGTTTGAAACTCTCTTTGGTTGATTCTGTTCATCCATAAGATCAGGGAAGAGAAGGTTTGCTTCTGGTAAGATCTTTTTGACGGATGGTCATCGTTTTGACAGCCAGGTTGTTGTCTGATAAAGCATCCATGATTAAAAATAGGAAGAGTGAACTGGCTCTTGTTTTCCAGCGAATCCGAGCAACCGTGAATAGCCAGGAACAGAAGAGGCTATTGATGGACTTGGACATTTCTATGAGAACCGTAGACTGTCATTTCACTGTCACATTCTATGGTGCACTATTTCGAGAGGTAGGACTTAAGACCTTTTCATGCTTTTATCTAGGACATAGAAAATTATACTAGCTTAACCGGATGGTCATTTAGCCTGGGAGTGGGCAACCTGCTGGGCTATTCCAAGTGTTGTCCTTCATTTGACAACTGATTGGATCTGAAACCAAATAATGCATGGATTTCAGTTACTCAAACTCGGTCCCATCCTATTATTTAATATGCCTTACAACAAACCAAAATACTATAAGTCGGTAATTGCTAAAGATTATTCAGAAGGGGGTTTGCGCCTTCTTGTGAAAAAAGATGGACTGCTTTAATAACTGGCAGAGAGCTTGCGGTGGTCAAATAAAGCCCAAAGGTTTTCTTTAAATCATTTTCAAACAGCGCACAACCAGTTGTTACAGTAAGACCCCTGGAGACAATTCAGTTGATACAAAATATCTTCAGTATATACACAAAACCCACAAAGAAACCCAGGCACGGACAGAAGGTTCTGAACAACAAAAATTTCATTTGACCTAGAAGATGAAAAGCTCGGTGGAGAATAGCATGTATTTTCATCCAGCAATGAAAAATAGCAAAAGAGGTATTGGAAGGATGTGTAATCCCAAATCATCTCACTAAAGAAGAGTTATGCTGTTGGAAGATCTGCAAGACTTTTTTGGGGCTGCATTAATTATGGCTGCCTTAGTGTATCAGACTATGATGCTAGACTTTTAAAATAGCAAAATCCTAACAACAACAATAACAAAAACAGCAGCAGAATTTTCTTTCATATCCTTTCATCCTTTTCATAAACAATCAAATTAAGCAGTGATTTAGAAGGTAGACCTCTCTCTGGTTGAATTTTATTGATCAAACCGTTTTTATCTGACAAGCAGCTTGTAAATGATTTATTTTCTCTTAGTACTATTATCTAATTTCTGGTGCCTTTTCCCCACACATCTATTGCTCATTGCTTCCATCAGTCAATCTAAATAATTCACATTCCACACAGCAGCTAAAGACTACGGTGTGTGGTAGGCCATATTGAAAATCTAACCTAAGTCGACAAGAAATTTTTGGAGGTGGTGCATATGTGTTTTGGTAAGGATATGTTTTGGTGATAGAAACTGGTCGAAGCTCAAAATCACTTATGTGTTCTCCCTTTCACCAACTCCCATTCGTCTAGGGTGATGTGTGGATTTGTATGGAATTGATGGATACCTCACTGGACAAATTCTACAAGCAAGTGATTGACAGGGGCTTAACGATTCCTGAGGATATCCTAGGGAAAATAGCTGTCTCTGTAAGTGCTCTACTTTTTAAAAATTGAAATTCTCTTTCAAAAATGATTTAACATTGCTGCGGCTGTAAGTCAGGGTAAAAGGAAAAAAAAACAGTGTGACCACACTGCTTAGCAACAGTAGTTCTGGTAGTCCCCGTTGCTGTTGTTATTAAATGGGGATCACGTGTGTACAGTGCGTTTTAAGGGATTGTTTCTTTTACCGTATTTTTCAGAGTATAAGACACAGAAGTATAAGATGCACCTAGCTTCTGGGGAGGAAAACAAGAAGAGGGGGGGGGGAAATCTGCCTCTGTCTCCTAGCAATTTTCCTCCTTGCAGCAAACAGTACAGATGATATACACTGTTTGTGGTGTTACATTTCAGACTATACTTGTACAGATGTTGTTAAAATTGATGTGGCTTTCTGGAAGTATACATTATTCTCTGCTATTTAAAAGAAAATACAATAGCACTGGGTTGCAAGCATTTATTTTAAATAGTTGCTTCATTTAGTTAAGTTGTCTAGAACAATAATAAAACAGTCTTTAAAAAATAAGTCTAATAATTTGAACATTCTATAGGCATTTATAGTATTTTTGGAGTATAAGACGCACCCTTTCCCCCCCCAAAAGTGGCTGAAAATCTGGGTATGTCTTATACGCTGAATACAGCATTTTTTTGCCTCCTGAAATTCCGCCCCTTCACCAAAATAGCCTTGCATAGCTTTTAGGAGGCTTTCAGAGAGCTTCTGGGGGCTGGGGAGGGCAGAAATGAGCAAAAAATGAACTGTTTTTTTGCTCAAATTTGCACACCCCTCCCGGGGAGCATCCTATAAGCTTCCTAATGGCCTTTTTTGACAAAAAAACAGGCCAATTTTTGAAAACAAAAAACCCAGGCCATTTGTTGCTCGTTTTTGCCACCCCCCCTCCCCACTCTAGGAACACACTACAAGCCGCCTAAGGGCTATTCATGCCCTTTTTTTGAAAAAAACAAAAAAAAACGGGCCCGTTTTGGGGAGGTTTGCAGAATGCAAAACTTTTTTTTAAAATTTGCCTCTTGAAAACCTTGGTGCGTTTTATACTCCAGTGCATCTTATACTCTGAAAAATACGGTACCTCCTGGCAGCAAACAGCTTAGCCTGATTAAAAGTAAAAAAAATCTGCCTCTGTCTCCCAGCAATTTGCCCCTTGCAGCAAATAGCAAACAGCCAGTTTCACTTTCAATTTCAGCAGGGCTTCCCGATGATCAGCTCTTTCAGGCTGCAGGAATTGCCATAGCCTATTGCCACCTCTGTAAGCCCAATTTTCCTGTTTGCTGCAAGGAGGTAAATTGCTGGGAGGCAGAGGCCAAAGGGCGGGGGGCCGGTGTATTTGGTGTATAAGATGCATCCAAATTTTCACCCTCTTTTACGGGGAAAAAGGTTCGTCTTATACCTAAAAAATATGGTAATTAGAAGATCTGATATTGAAAATAAAATTTGATTTGGGCCTTACCCTTCCTGCTTCAAGCATGAACCACCTTAGTTCAAATCCAAATGGGTTAGATAAATGATAATGTTTTCTGCGTTAAATACCTTGATAATCTGAGATTTTTTTTAAAAAAAGATTGTAATTTGTATGTTTTGGGGCAGAGTTCTATGAACTCTGGAGTGGGGAATCTATTTGTTTTGTAAAAGTAAAAATCCACCCCCCCAAAAAAAAAATTGAAAAAAAAAAGGATTGTATTTATGTTTTGCTTAGCTGACTAACTGAGGTTCTTATACCTTTCAGGAAACACTAGGGCTGAAAGTGGGGTGGGGGGAGCTATCGGTTGGAAGCCAGAGCTGTCAATCGCAGCTATATTTCCTCCTTTTCTTTCTTCATACCTCTAAAGAGCATGGAAGGAAATGCAATTATTTGGTTTTATTAGTCTATCTGTCTGCAGTCTGCAGCTTCTTAAACCCTTGAGGCAGGAGAAAGGGTTCTGGGTGCAACCTGATCTGCTTGGAGTCAGTTTGCAGACAATCTGCCTTAATTTAAAAAAAACAACACACATTTGAAAATGGACTGTAGTAAAAGCAGGTGCACAGAATTATTATATAGCTATCTTTCCTTAAAAGTTTCCTGGAATACGTTGATGGAAGTGGTGGCAGTATTTTTGTTAATGGGGAAGGAACCGTTCTCAGGAAAGGAGAAGATCAGGACCAACTTAGGTACAACAAAAAATATCTGTTTAACCTTTTGACATTTCTTGTGTTTATACAGATAGTCCTTAACTTATGACCACAATTGAGGCCAAAATTCATGTTGCTAAGTGAGAAATTTGTTAAGTACACTTTGCCCCATTTTATGACTTTTCTTGCCACATTTGTTAAGTGAATCACTGCAGTTGTTAAATTAACAACACAGTTGTTAAGTGAATCTGGTTTCCCAGATTGACTTTTCTTATCGGAAGGTCGCAAAAGCTGGTCACATGATCCCAGGACACTGCGACCTTCATAAATATGAGTCAGTTGCCAAGTGGCTGAATTTTGATCAGATGACCATGGGGATTCTGCATCGGTCAGAAGTGTGAAAAACGATCACAAGTCACTTTTGTCCGGTGCGTTTGTAACTCTGAACGGTCACTAAGCAAACTGTTGTAAGTCGAGGACTACCTGTACAGTAAGGTAACTGACAATAGGAGGTGCATATTATTTTATTGCAAAGGAATTTTTTAACTTAATCCTGCTTGGTAACCAGCGCTCTGTTCATCCCCCAACTCTTTCTGTTCTGCAGGGGAAAAACAATCAAAACGGATCCTTGCTATAAAAACATTTGATTCATTGGGAGACGGCTGGAATTCTAATCAAAAAAATTTCCCCTGTAAAGATGCAGAAAGGATGGGTAGAGTCTGACCCTTGGAAAAAGGGCTGCTTATATCAACCTTTAGCTTGGCCATGCTGCAAAGGGTGTTTGGCATGAATCATGTTTTATTACGTTGGTATTAGACTGCAGGCTCAGCATTCTTCTGCTGGTTAATTACCAAGATGCCCAACCCCAGACTGTCTCTACCTGGGGTTAAGTGTTGAAAGGGTGTGTGTGTGTGTGTGTGTGTGTGTGTGTGTGAACTTGTGCCCTGAAAATAACTCTTTCTGCTTCAGCCGCTGCAGCTGATTCTCTCTCTTGTGCATTTCAGATTGTAAAAGCATTAGAACACCTACATAGTAAACTCTCTGTAATTCACCGAGGTAAGTAAGCACAAACTTGGTGCTTCAATTCTCTCACTCAGCTGTGAAAGAGGGGGCAGGGCTTTTGGATAAAAGATCTCTCTTATCATTTAACCCCCGAACCCACATATATTTGTCTCTGACTCCCACCCTTTTCCCCCTCCTCCTTCTTTTCCTTCCAATGCTTCTTGGATCTTGCCATTGACATTCAGCTCTGAAAAGCTATGGTTTTTTGTTTGTTTTAAAGAAGCAAAATCTTTCATTTAACTACCCTGGGTCCAAAGTGAACAATAAAGAAAAACCCCAGCCAACCATTTTGACTCGGGGGGGGGGGGGGCTTCCCTATGGGGATGTCACTGCAGCCCCGGGGCACTGGACAAGTAGTGCTTTTGCATAATAGTGGCTTCCTGTTTTCCCAGATTTTTTTTTCCACTGAAAGCCTTTGGACAGACAGTGGAATGCCATGCTATTATTCTAAGGCGACTACTTTGTATTACATCGTTTAGGATAACGGTTTTTTATTTATTCTATTGTATTATTTTATTGTATTATTTTTTAAAAATTATATTGCCGCTTACTCAGTGGTGGTGTGGTGGTTAGAATGCAGTACTGCAGGAGTTTGATTCTGAATGGCTCAAGGTTGACTCAGCCTCCAATCCTTCTAAGAGCGGTAAAATGAGGACCCAGATTGTTGGGGGGCAATAGGCTGACACTGTAAACTGCTTAGAGAGGTCTATAAAAGACTATGAAGCGGTATTTAAGTCTTAAATTGGGCTATGGAGAGCAACTAAAGTCAGGCCAAGCTATTCTGACTTAGGGGACAAACTGGCTCATATGCTTTGATTAATCAGTAATACAACTGAAAAGTTAAATGCTGTCCTCTGGATTGTAACTTAAAATCCTGCCTCACTGTATTTTGTGGACATCCAGGATGGAGAGATTTTCATTGGAGTAGCTTGATGAGCAGATAGTTTTCAAATTAAGAGCCAGTTTTGACCTCAAAGCTCTGTGGAATGCTCCCGTGCCTTAGTTCTAATCAGAGGTCCTGTTTGTCTGTTTTCACAATAAGGAAACATACCTGCCATATTTTCTGTCTGAATGCTGTAACAGATGGTGAATCCAAAATGGATAAATTAAGCTTTGTGACTGCCATGATCTCAAATAGTGCTTGTGTCATGTTAAGCAAACCAGTGTTGCAGAGAAGGAGGCCTCAAACATGTTCATGATGTGCATATACCACTAGTAATAGCACTTCTATATCACTTCGCAGTGCTTTACAGCCCTCTCTAAGTGGTCTACAGAATCAGCATATTGCCCTGCCAACAATCTGGGTCCCAATTTTACCAGCCTTGGAAGGATGGAAGGCGGAGTCAACCTTGAGCCGGTCAGGATCGAACGCCTGGCAGCGAGCTGAAGTAGTTGAGTTAGCCTGTAGTAGTACACCATCATGATCATATTTGTAGCCCTGACTTACCGATTGCCATGTTTAGCTCAAAGTTACAATAATGTAAAAAAATAGCACTGCAACCAATCCTTGAATTTTATTTATTTATTAAACAGATTTACATAGCCTCCCAACTCACACGTGGTGACTCCAGGCGGGTTTAAAAAATTTAAAAATTCAGAATTTAACCCTCCCGTTTCCACCACCACCCAAGATAGTTGACTTCGGAATCAAACAAGCCACTTGACTGGCTCCGAATGGATTCTCCAGGCCCATTAATGACCCTTGCAGCATCATGCAATCATGTAATTATCTTTTGCAGGCTTCACAACTGGTTTTTGACAAGCAATGTTCATGAAGGAGGTGGAAACAAAATAGCACATCGCAATCACATAACTTTTTTTTCCTTAGTGATTGTGGCACTTAATGACCAAGGGGGAAATGAATTTATAAGCTTGTCATGGGATACGCTTAGTGACACAGCACTTAGTGACTGAGTTGCTTGGCCCAATTGTGGTTGCTGAGCGAGGACTACTTTTATGATCATGTACTATAGTTTAGTGTGACTTGTGACATTTGTTAGTGGATATTAGAGGGCCACTTTTAAAGTTAACTGCTGTAGTGTTTAAGAAGTTGGCTTAGGAGAAGGAGGAGACCCAGGTTCTCGTCCCTCCTCAGCCACTGAAACTCCCTGGCTGACTTTGGGCTGATCTCTCGACCCAATCTGCTTCACAGAGTTCTTTTGGGAAAAACAATATAAGTGAGTGTTATGTGTGCCATCTTGAGCTCTTGAATGCAAAGCAAGGTATAAATTGATTGGTCAAATAAGTACCGTATTTTTCGGAGTATAAGATGCACTGGAGTATAAGACACACCAATGTTTTGAAGAAGCAAATTAAAAAAAAAAGTTTTTCCACTCTGCAAATCTCGTGAAAACGGGCCTGTTTCCCCACCCCCAAAAAAGCACGAATAGCCTTTAGTGGGCTTGCAAAGGGCTCCCCGGGGGGGGGGGGACGACCAAGCAAAAATGGCCCATTTTTTGCGAAAAGGGGCCCATTTATTGTAAGAAAAGAAAGGACATGGATGGCCTTTAGGAAGCTTATGGAGTGCTCCTGGGGGCTTGGGGGGGGTAGAATTGAGCAAAAACTGGGCCGTTCTTTGCTCATTTCTGCCCTCCCCAACCTCCAGGAGCTCTCTAAAAGCTTCCTAGAGGCTCTGCATGGCCATTTTGGTGAAGGGGGTGGGGTTTCGAGAGGCAACAAATGCTGTATTCATTGTATAAGACGCACCCAGATTTTCAGCCTCTTTTTTGAGGTAAAAGGGTGTGCCTTATACTCTGAAAAATACGGTAAGTGTCAACACTTAACCATGTTTCATTTTGCTCCATGGAGAGAAGAAACTTTGAAAGAAAGTATGTCTTCTCAGTGCCAATTTCTAGGTTTTTCATCCTGATTAACACACAGCTAAAAGCATTTGCCATTCTGTTTGAACTCTATTCGCTGTTTCCTCAGTGTAAATTAATAGTGGAATTATTGGTAGGAATAAACGCCAGACTACAGTCTATGGAAAAATACATTTGTGTCTGTGTGCATTTTGTGTGTAGATCTTTTTATTTTAAGCCAACAAATAAACGGTGCATTGCTTTGGGTGCCCTCTGCTGGTGACAACCCATGTTGTAGCCTGCTTCCTTTTTCACCATAATCTCCAACAAGAAAAAAAAAGGGAGTGCTTGCAAGCAATGACATTCCTCTGTAATTTCTTTTGCAGATGTCAAGCCTTCCAATGTGCTGATTAATACACAAGGACAGGTGAAAATGTGTGACTTTGGAATTAGTGGGTACCTCGTTGATTCTGTGGCTAAGACAATGGATGCTGGATGCAAACCGTATATGGCAGTAAGTGCAGTGAATCGTGAAACCTTCAGGGCAAACTGTGTCACATCACTTACTATGCACACAATGGCAGATATTTGCTTTGTTTTATCAAATTTAAGATATATACGTGTGCGTGTGCGTGTGCACGTGTACACACACATATACATTATATACATATACACATATTCTGTGTGTGTATTGTTCAGTCACTAAGTGACTGTCCATCTCTGTGATCCGTGTGTGTGTATGTGAGTGTGTGGGCAGTGTAGTGGTGAAGATGCTTGCCTCCCACTCACAATTCAATCCTAGATAGTTTTTCAGGGTGCAAAGAAAAGGTATCTGCTGCGAACTCCACGTGGCATCAGGAAGGGCATCCGGCCAGTAAACACTTGGCTGTATTCAGTTACCCGGACTCTAACCCAAATTAAGAGATTAGAGGGCCTTAAGAAAGGGTGTTTTTATGTATGTAGTCTACATTTCTAAGGTATTCAAGGTTGCTTTGCATCTGAACACCAAGAAAACACCATAGAAACAGCAGAAATATCAGAAAGGCAGTAGAAGAATGAAGGTCTAAAGATTTGGCTTGGTGAAAATCTGTTAGAATAACTTTGTTGGTTATCTTGTAAAATGAAACAATGTTTTAGAGTAGCTGTTTTGCTCTAAGGTGCCAGGACTGAACCTACCACATTCTGTCAATGGGAGGATCTGAAATAGAGACTCACAATATGACTTCCTGATGACCATTTCTAGCCAGTGATGTTGACCAAGTTCATAATGACCTGTTTCAAAATACAGTTCTCCACAGCTTATAATATAATACAATATAATACAATAGCAGAGTTGGAAGGGACCTTGGAGGTCTTCTAGTCCAACCCCCTGCCTAGTCAGGAAACTCTATACCTTTCTAGACAAATGGCTATCCAACATCTTGTTAAGATATATTACAACTATGGTAAGATAAGTTACAACTATGGTAGTTATGGTTAACTCTAGTTCTTCTACAGTGAACTTCTAAATGAATACTGCGAAAAACCAAGATAAAACCACCAATCTTGGGTCCCATGCCCATCTAACCAATTTTCATACTAGCACCGAAACTGGAGAGACAGGAAGAGATTACTGGGACCTGTCAATTCCCAGTCTTCAAAACTAGGAAGAGGACGTGTAATTATTCGGAACCACCATAGGCATAAAGTTTGCAAAACAAAACTATCGTGGCTGGCTGGTGTGCTGCTTTCCTGCCATGCATCCAGCCATAGGATTCTTTGTTGGTTTCAATTCAAGTAAATGTTCTAAGTACCTCTCTAGGATTAGACGATAGACCCAGATAGAAACTCTGCAGTAAGAACACTGGAGATAAGAAGCCACATACACATGTTCACTTTAAGCAGAAAGAATCATTTGATGCATTATTCAAACCAGAATGAGAACTTTGACTGCGCAGATAAGCTTTCCTTTTCAGAGGCAGTGAAACAGCTGGATTGGAACTCTTGATCTTTCCTTTGGAGACCCTTGAACACAGGGAGAACAGTCGCTGTGCTCAATCATATCATGGTGCTCCATGTACCTTTAAAACCCCAAAGAGCATTTAACATTTACAGTATTCTCCCCTCCCCCAAACTTTTCATCAAGTTAGACTGGCCCAGATGAGGCGTGCTAGATTCTGCCGCAGTACAATGCAATAGATGCCTTTGGGCAGTGATGTAGCACTTTCTCAGCCTTCCTGAAGGGAATGTCTGGAGTTAGGTACGTACATTAACAGTTCACACAGGGGCTGGTAATTACAGCTTCTACTCTGGCAATTAAGGTCAGCCAAAAATGATTGAAATCTGATACTATAAAATGAAAATGAAATACAGCATATGTGCAATCTGCAATGCACACTTAATTGGAAGTAAACTATCTTGAACATCTTTGTAAAAATCTGAGAGTATCATGAGACTCGGACATTATAGTTCAAAGTTGAACAAGTCTATCCAAGTAATGTTTATTTTTTTGAACTAAAGAACTTGGAGAGTCTCATATTCCTTGGGAACAAGGAAGCAGTAGTTTCTCTTTTCTTGATTTTATTTCTATGTTCTTAAGAACTTCCCTCCCAATACCTTAATCTTAAAACGCATTCTTGATGCGTGACTACTAGAACTGTAGTGCCATATAAGCATTTAGTTCATTTCTTACAGAAATACATACGCTTTCCTACATTTGCTTATAGATTTCCTGTGCCTTTGGCTGGAACTCTTTCAGCTTGCACACACTGAGCCAATTGTGAATTCAACAGAAATGAATTTGTCACTGTCTTGGCTGCCTTCTATAGGTCGTGCATGGGTGGCCATGCCATCTTAATACTATAATAAACTTACCAGGATTACAGACAAATCTGCAAGGATCTTCTCCATCACAATTAAGCAAAATGCACAAACCTGTCAGTGAGGATGCTCTGCTGAGAAATTTACCAAGCATGCAGGGCTTTGGAATATTAACACTGTTGTTTTGGCTGCCATCTGTGATTTCTTCCCCTTTGAGGAGTCTTTGCAATCTGCTGCTTTTTTTCTACTAGCAAGATGTGACTATTGGCTTCGGAAAGCTTGCATGCTATCCCATTAAGGAAGACAACAGCATTTTTGGTTGCCTTTTTTTTTTTTTTTGGAAATACCCTCAAACTGGAGAATGTATAGGATGGGAGTTGTGCTAAGTGTTTGTTAAGATTGGCACCAGCTTCTCAAACTAAAAGCAAGATTCTCACCCAGCTTTGTTGGCAAGATTTATTGAACTGAAACTAATTTGTACAAGAATTTCAAGAACTGATCATACAGAACAACTTTTATCTCCTGGAATTTCTTAAGAGTGGAGACTTGGTCTGCTTTCCCTTAATGACCTTCCCATAAAGTGGTGAAGAGGCAGATACCTTTGCAGAAGATGGAAGACCTTCCATTTGCCTTTATCAAACAATTATCCTGAATCTTTATTAGCTTGTGATGATCTTTACCTCAGGCTTTCTTCACAAAACATTTTACCCAGTCATTCTGGCAGCACTCTGTCACCTTAACTGTTAAAAAAATCATGAGTTGGGAAAGGCAAGATCTTACCCACTTCTTCCTGGTATCTGATAGCAATAGTAATAGCACTTAGACTTATATACCGCTCCATAGTTCTTTACCGCACTCTGTTCTGACCCAGCCTTGATGAGCCCCACTCAACAGCCTACTCGTGAGGAGAAACTCCTTTTTATTTAGAAAGGCAGGAATATACCGCAATCACTGACAAAGCTCCAGGTCACACATCCATAGGTGATTCACAAGCTGTAGCAGTCTTTGTGTTCCCCGCAGGGAGCCTCAATTGGCACTTCAATCCCAACACAAAGAGTATTGACCAATCTGGTTGGTGGCAAGGAAATCCTGTCAAGGAATCCACCGGAGGGAACTCTTCTGGAGCATAAACAAATGTCACCAACAACCATGCCTCCCACACCCCTCCTTATATCCCAGCCAAGGAGGGGCTTGTTAACGTCTCCTCCTTTTCCTGGATAGCTGGCCCTCAGTCCTGCATTGATCTCCTCTCCACACTTCTCCGTGCATATGTGCATCTGGGACAGGATCCAGCTGTTCCTCCCACTCTGCTTCTCTGGGTTCAAAATTCTATTTAGGCTTGATTTTAACGATTTTAATGATTTATGCATATTTTTTATAATTTCACATAGTTCTTCAAATTCCCAGCTTTCCATGATGTGCAGTTCTAAAGTTACAGTTAGTTATACAGTTCTTATTTCAGAGTTCTGGTCCACCTTAAATTTATCTACTTCAGCTGCTGTGGGGAAGAGCGAAGGGAGCCATCTTGTCTTTTGTTCTTCCTTAAATGTCCAGTCCCAAAATTGCAGTTAGTTATACAAGTCTTATTTCGAGGTTCTGGTCCACCTTAAATTTATCTACTTCAGCTGCTGTGGGGAAGAGCGATGGGAGCAGCTTGGTCTTTTGTTCTTCCTTAATGTTCCAGTTCCAAAATTGCAGTTAGTTATACAAGTCTTATTTCGAGGTTCTGGTCCACCTTAAATATAATTCAACTACTGTGAAACCGGAGGAGAAGCTGGGGCCATCTTAATCTTTTGCAGAGAAAAA